ACAACATCAATGTAGATGTAAGAAAAAAAAGGGATTACAAGAGACAGAAACTTCAATTTATTTACGCCTGTTCATCCCGATTGGAGTATAAGCTGCCTGCCGACTAGCATACTACAACCTACTCTGTCTTTGGCCCATCTTTCCAGTTCTGTCCAGTTGTTGTACATTCAACTCACATTGATCTCCATTTCTCAGAGTAATCAGTTCCTTGAACTGCGTCTGTTTCCTAGACCTTGAGGATTCCAAGTAAGGAATTGTCTTGTGACACAGTTGAGCACTTCCCTCAATGTTCGTTCTACTCAATACCATTACCTCTTCTTGATTTCTTGATCCACTGCAATCTGGTTTGTTGTCGTCCACAGTAGTTTGTTGCTGATGGTGTATGGTCAACGGATTCGAAGTATTTTGCGTAGACTTTCGTAGTTAACCACGTTTCCACTCCATACAGTAGAAATGTTTTGACATTTGTATTGAAAACTTTGATTTCGGTTTCGGTTGTCCGTTGTTTTGAGTTGCTGATGTTGTCCAGTCTTAGAAATGTAACTCTTGCTTTGCCAACATACACATTCACATCTGCAACAGATCCACTTTGCTACAAACACACAATGCAAGTAGATTGACAAAAACTATCTATCATTCAGATTCGATAATTGATCAAACTGTATTGAACATTGATGAGAATTGAATATTGAAAAGGGTATTATGTTTTTTCTCAAAATAAAAATACTTACAGCCTCTAGTCGAATGATCAACTGAGTCGACAACTACGCATTTTTAATGATTACAATGATTTGTATGACGTTCAAAATATCAGTAGTTGACTTGTTACTTACAGTTCAAAAGTTCACATTTTTCATATGAATGATCACCAAGCTAATCAATAGTTCAAGCAAAAATCACATACCACAAAAAATAGAATTATTCTTAATCATTTAATTTGAATGGAACAAAGTCAACAATAAATTCATTCAGGTCAAGGATTCATGAAATATTGAAATTTTGACTGCACGATCAACACTCGACATTCATTACAATGAATAAATTTTCTACGGACTTGATGATTTGGAATGTTCACTTGTGTAAGTTTTATACATAGAATGAAATCGTGACATCAGGGACACAAGGAATCAATATGTGTAACATGGAGTAAGAGATAGGGAGATAATTAATGTGATTACAAGTCAGGCATTACGTAATATGCAGCTTAACATGAATGCGATGCGAATTGATGAATAGGATGCGGAGTAAATTCCTCAAACAGTTTTAAGTGTTATATTTATATTAATGATTTGTAAATATGATAGGTTTATTCAACGAAAATGTTTTCTAACGAATTAGGCTACTAGTTGGCCAAAGTTAAAAGAGGTCGACATACAGCTGCAGCCTTTTGATCCAATCAGCCATTGGTTTTGCCATCTGAAAGATTCTTAGTTTGATGGATTTTGCCAGACTGGTGTTAACACGATGTATTACTACAGTAAGCGATTGCTCGCAAATGGATTCATGTCCCGTTTGTACTAAGTAAGCTAGGATCGAACTGTTACCAATTCTAATTAAATGTTAACTTGACCAGACTGTGAGGTGCTCATGAGCACGACAGTACACATTCTTAGAACATTTGTGGACATAAATTGCTCCACTAGAGCAACTGAATTGATAGATACCGTCAGAGAGGTGACTATTTTAAGTAATTCATATTTCAATTTCGCAGTGACCATCTCATGTGTGGATAAAATTAATTGTAGTTTAGTTGGATCAATGGTTCTGTACATTTGAAGGCTTCATATACACAGAGAGACGTTTTATTTGTTGTTTAGACTTCTTTATATGCTCTCTTCTCGTGATTAAATACCTATTTATGAATTCAATTCGTCTGCAACTCTGCATCTGGATAGTCTATAATATGGACTATATACTGATTTATTTTATATTGACAACGGCATATTGGCCAGTCTGAGTAGTTGCCTTGTTTAAGTTTCTGACTGGTCATCCATTATTCATTCTGCTTGTTAGAAGAACATCTAGAAAGATTATTCTACCTTCAGTTTCTTCGTCAGATGTTCAATCTAACGGGTAGATGAATGACATTGACAGAATAGTTTCATTATTTCGATCCGGTCGATTTCGTCTTTACACAGGATAAACTCATCATCCATGTATGTTGACAGTTAAAATGAAAACCTATCGAAAACCTGTGTCAGTGGACTGAAGTAGGTTAGGGTTAGAGTCAGTTATCAGTGACTTCAAGTATTTGTGTTGTGTTTTGGCAGCGTCTAGCATTCTTCCAACCGACTCTTACACTAACAGTCATTGTTCTTCAATGCAATCAATCTTTGGGCATAAGTAACACATGAAACAAGAATTTTGTAGAATAGTTTTAACATAGTTATTTACTGCTTTGTTGTTGTATAACATGTGGAATTGTACATGATAAGATTTGTCAAATATAATTCACTTGTTGATAAATCAGACCAATATGGTTCCATTCAATAACAACAACAACTGAACGAATGAACTTTGTAGTCTAATATCAGATCTTAGTCTTATCACAGGCTAAATTTTCGTGTAAATTATTCCTACTTTAGCTTGCATTCTAACTTACTTCAATCTATTATGAATAATTGCTTTAAGTCAATTTTCAAAATTATCAACTTATTGTTAAAATGTCAAGAAAAGAACATTTTACACTTCCTTCTTTTTTTTCAATTTCAGTTACGGAGATTAGTGTTTTTACTCACTGAAATCATAAAGGCAATCATCAATGTTAGATCAATATCAGAAACTTGGAATCACTGGACGGCTGTTTCATCCTGGTATGAGACTCATCAACAGTGCGCATTCACGACTCCTGCTACGTGCAAGATTCAAACCCAGTATCCTCAACAGGGTTGAATTTCACTGATCATGTCTTTTCACTAGAACTCTGAGAATTTCGATCAACAAACTAGTCGTCACTAGTGAGCATATTTAACAAGATTTTCAATTAAAAAAATTATTTTTATTTTTTTTCAATAGAATAAATTTACAATAAGATGAAGTCATCAAATTTGAAAAATGCACACACACACACACAGGGAGAAAGAGAGAGAGAAGGGGAAAATATCACTCATCATACATGTTCCATTCATGATGAACAAAGTCATGTTCATGAATTCTTAAAGAATTGCATACAAATTGTGGAGTGAGAATCATGTTTTATAGAAGAATTATGGATTTAGACAGATAGAAAGAAAGAAAATGAAAATTGGAAATCGGAAATACAAAAAATCACTTGAACATCGATTGTCCAATATGAGGTAATGGCAATAGAAAAGAAGAAATTGCCGACTGATTAATTAAAAGTATCAAAACGAGTTGTGTTTTAGAACTGTGGCGCCTACTAGTAGTAACAATTTGTCAAACTCTTCATCACAATGATAGAAGAAGAAGAGTCAATCATTCGGTCGGTACACAGATGGAAGTTGAAACATTGAAACATTGTAGGCTAAGACAAATATAATTGAATGAATGATTGAATCAATGAATCAGCGAATCAGTGAATCAGTTAACTCGATGGTACAACTCTAAACAATTTCTGTACTGCAATAGTAAATGATTCTGAAAAAAATAAAATAAAATAAAATTAGAAAAGAGAAAACACACACACATGAATAAACAAGATTAAATCTTTAGTGCGAAAAAAAGTGCAAAAAAGAAGAAAATATTACATCTGAAATTGGTTGAAAAAACAGTCATTGAAATTCAATTACAGACTGACTGCATTGAAGATGTAAGAGAATACACTACTTATGGTCATTGCAAAAGCTTAGACCATAGTTGTTATGTTCAATGGTTGGTTCTCTAGGTGATCTCTACAGAACTCTAACAATTAGCTTTATTCTAAGTTGTACATGTCAATAAGAAACAGATGAAACCATGGAACGATCGATATGCGCTTGCTTACATGACTTCATGCTATGTTGTTACCCAGTGTCATTGGGTGAATTATTCAACCTGTATAAAGTTCAAGTTTAGGGTTTGCGGCTATCAGACAGTCAGCAACAACTTAGTACTTCGTACTTAAGTACGTCTGTATGTACATCAGTCCCAGTTGTCATATTGCATTAGCGAAAAGTGGCGATTGTCAATGGGAATCCCATTGTGATAGAGGTAATAGATGTATGAGCAGTAATCGGAAAGATTAAGATTTGAAGATGTTATTCGAAGAGTATATATACACCAATGAAATAAAGTTGAGAAGAGAAAGATAGAGGAGATAAGAAGTTTAGTTTTCAATTTCGGAAAACTCAAACCCAGACCAGGTATTCTACACCTACAAACATGTCTCGTTCCATTTGTCAATGACTTCATGGATTTATGCCATGATTTGGTCCAACTTGTGGCATCAGATAAAAAACTGCATCATCATCTGATCAAGTCATTTAGACTGGTAATTAACAGAATTCAATACTTACTTACTTACTTTCGCCTGTTACCCCCAATGGAGCATAGGCCGCCCACCAGTTTTCTCCAACCAACTCTGTCCTGGGCTTCTCTCTCCAGTTCTGTCCAATGTTTGTTCATTCCTCTCATATCTTTCTCTATTTCTCGGCGTAGTGTGTTCTTTGGCCTTCCTCTTTTCCTTTTGCCTTGAGGGTTCCATGTGAGGGCTTGTCTCGTGACACAGTTAGGTGCTTTTCGTAGTGTGTGTCCTATCCACTTCCACCGCTTCTTCCTGATTTCCTCCTCCACTGGAATCTGGTTTGTTCTCTCCCACAGTTCGTTGTTGCTGATGGTGTCTGGCCAACGAATACGAAGTATTTTACGTAGACAACTGTTAATAAACACTTGTATCCTCTGGATGATGGCTTTGGTAGTTCTCCATGTTTCCGCTCCATACAGTAGAACTGTCTTCACATTTGTTTTGAAAATCCTTATTTTGGTGTTGATTGATATCTGTTTGGAGTTCCAGATATTTTTCAACTGTAGAAATGCAGCCCTTGCTTTGCCAATCCGTGCCCTCACATCTGCATCGGATCCACCTTGATTGTCGATGATGCTGCCCAGATATGTAAAGGTGTTAATGTCCTCCAAGGCATCTCCATCAAGAGTGATTTGATTGGTGCATGTTGTGTTGCATCGGAGAATTTTGCTCTTTCCTTTATGTATGTTGAGACCTACTGCTGCAGAGGCTGCTGCTACACTGGTCGTCTTCTCTTGCATTTGTTGTTGAGTGTGCGATAGAAGAGCCAAGTCATCTGCGAAGTCCAGATCGTCCAGCTGCGTCCTAACTGTCCAGTTGATACCGTGCTTCCCCCCAGATGTTGACGTTTTCATAATCCAGTCGATGACCAGGAGAAAGAGAAAGGGTGAGAGTAAGCAACCTTGCCTGACACCGGTCTTCACCTCGAAAGAGTCGGTTAGCTGTCCTCCGTGCACGATTTTGCAGTTGAATCCATCATAAGAATTCCGTATGATGTTAACTATTTTCTCAGGCACCCCGTAGTGTCGAAGAAGAGTCCACAGTGTTTTCCTGTCCACGCTATCAAATGCTTTCTCGAAGTCGATGAAGTTGATGTAGAGTGGTGAGTTCCATTCAATTGATTGTTCCACAATGATCCGTAATGTAGCAATTTAGTCAGTACACGATCGATCCTTCCGAAATCCGGCCTGTTGATCTCGAAGTTGGGCGTCTACGAAGTCCTTCATTCTGTTTAACAATACCCTGTTGAAGACTTTGCCTGGTATTGAAAGAAGAGTGATGCCTCTGTAGTTCTCACACTTGCTCAGATCGCCTTTCTTTGGTATTTTGATGAGGTATCCTTCTTTCCAATCTGATGGTACTTGTTCCTCATCCCGAATCTTCTTGAAGAGGATGTGAAATATTTTCGCGGTTGCTTCTACATCTGCTTTCATTGCCTCTGCTGGAATGTTGTCTGGTCCTGCTGCTTTGCCGTTCTTGATTTGTCTGATGGCCATACTGATCTCCTCAATCGTAGGTGCTCCAATATTAATTGGGAGATCCGTGGATGCTGCTTCGATGTTGGGTGTGTTCAGTGGAGCTGGTCGATTCAATAGTTCCTTAAAGTGCTCTACCCACCTATTTCGCTGTTGTTCAGTGTTGCTGATTACTTTGCCTTCCTTGCTTTTCACTGGTCGTTCTGGTTTACGATAGTTCCCGGCGAGCTTCTTTGTAGTTTCATACAATTGTCTCAAGTTTCCGTCTCTTGCAGCCCTTTCCGCCGTCGTTGCTAGATAATCCACGTATTTTCGTTTGTCAGCTCTGATGCTCTTCTTCACTTCCCTGTTTGCTTCTGTGTATGCAGCTTGTGCGGTAACTTTCTCCGCTCTTGTTCGGCTGACATTGATTGCTGCTTTCTTGTTCCTCCTTTCTTCAATTTTTGCGAGAGTATCAACAGAGATCCATTCCTTGTGATGCTGCTTCTTGCGACCAAGGACCTCCTGACATGTTGAAGTGATTGCCTCCTTAATCCCTTTCCAATTGTTCTCCAATGTTGTGTCCTCTCCATTGTGTAGATCTTGAAAGGCCTGGAACCTATTGGTGAGGGCTATCCTGAATTCGTTGAGCTTTACAGTATCCCGAAGAAAGGCCGTATTAAACTTGTGCGATGTTGTCTGTCCCGTTATCCAGTGCTTCTTTAGTTTCAGTTTCATTTTGGCGATTAGCAAATGGTGATCTGAGGCTACATCAGCTCCTCTCCTGGTTCTCACATCCTCCATAGTCCTTCTGAACGTTTTGTTGATACAGATATGGTCAATCTGGTTCTGAGTAATGTGGTCCGGTGAAATCCATGTAGCTTTGCGTATGCGTTTGTGCGGGAATATTGTGCCACCGATTACCAGTTTGTTGAAGGCACATAGGTTTGCAAATCTCTCACCGTTTTCGTTTCTTTCTCCCAGTCCATGTCGTCCCATGATGTCTTCATATCCAGTGTTGTCCATGCCAACCTTGGCATTCAGGTCTCCCATAAGAATCGTCAAATCCTTTGGTGAACAATTCTCGACGATTGACTGCAGCCTTTCGTAGAATTGATCTTTGTCGTCGTCATTGTAGTCGTTGGTAGGTGCATAACATTGGATGACGTTCATTGTAATGTCCTCTTTCTTTGTTTTGAAGGATGCTTTAATGATCCTGGGTCCATGAGATTCCCATCCTATTAGTGCCTTTTGTGCATGTTTGGACAGCATCAATGCAACTCCTTGTGTATGTGAAGCATTTTCCTCTTCATGACCAGAGTATAACAGCAGTTCCCCTGAAGCTAGTCTCAGTTGTCCTACTTGTGTCCAATGTGTTTCACTGATTCCAAGCACCTCGAGGTTGTATCTTTTCATTTCTGCCGCAACTTGAAATAGTCTTCCAGTCTCCCACAATGTACGAACGTTCCGTGTACCTAAAAAAATGGTTGCTCTGGTTGTCAGAAGAGGCATCAGCCCCGTGACTTCCGAGGGAACTCGGCTTTCATCACGAGACGTCATAATTCTTCTTCCAACTCCCAGGGCAGAGTTAAAATGGTTTGAATTATTTTTTCTGGTTAGCGTTTTTTTGGCAAGTTAGTTTTTGACGGAATGGGGTCGCCAACCCCATGTCCAACCCTCCTCCTTTACCCGGGCTTGGGACCGGCAGTAGCCCCTAAGGTTCTACTGGCGGAGTTAGAATTCAATAGGCATCAACAAAATTAACAATTTGATTCACCAGTAGTATATCGTTCTCATCAGAACTTGGAGAAACTTCCTCGAGGATCAAGTCAAGACAGTTGAGTTTCATCCAAATCATAAACCACTCAATGTCAGATCATCATTTGGAACCTGGAAAACTTCTTGGGCAAGACCGAAGGTGCTGTATTCGATTCTTGTGAGTGAACGTTATGCATATGCTCTACTGATGAGTCCGATGTCAGGAAGAAATGGCCGCATACAGTGCTCACAGGTTTCCAACGATGATCCAACATGGATTGATTCATGAGTTTGTAAAATCAGCTCAACAATCTTTACAACCGTATAATAATGAAAACAAAATGATAATTCATTTCACAAAATTATTAATAATCATAATCGTAATTGTACAATATTCATTATTTACCAAATTTTCTTTCAATTGATTTCGATTTCTTTCTCCATACACATCCAATGAGATAAAGTGGTATACCAGCACAAAGAATAACAACTCCAAGTACTAGTAGAAAAATTGAAATAAACAATGACGTCAAAAATCAATAAAATCGAAGTAAAACTAAGTGGAACTATTACGAGTTTACCTTAGTCGAAAAATGAGAGCGAGGATCGAGGATCCAGCGACATGACATGCTACTCTAATCCGAGTGTCTCAACCGCTCATCAATGAGTAAAAGAAGAAGACTTGATATAAAGTAGAACATGTATTCTACAAGCATCCAGAAAGTACAAGGTCCGAGTCCAGAAGAGAATCAGGATTCTGGACTAGGGATCCGGGTCATAAAACGTCACAGATAATGTGTATTTAAACATTTTGGTCGAATAGGAAACAACACTGAATTCTGTGACATTGACACTTATGACGGCCAATGGGGAACAACACTTCAATGACATGACACTGATAGCTAGGACGAGCATTATATTGACCAGTAGGAAATTGACCAATAGAATTAGACAGTTGGTGACAGTGTGTTTTTTCTTCCCGTTTTGTAATTTATGATATATCTAATCGCTAATTAAATCTAATATCAACTTAATATTAATGATGAATATGATAAACCACTTCGTTTCTTTTCAAAAAAAACAAAACAAGAAAATGACCAAAAACCGGTTCACATTCACCCGTCTACACTTACATGATTCAATCGGTGCAGCAGTAAATGCAAAAATCACTAAGAATATAGAGACCAGTACATAAATGATTGGGAATAAAATTGGTGCCTAAAAAAATCATAAAAAAATTTAAAAAAATCAATTTTTTCTTTGGCGGGTGACATGAATGAATTTGAAAAAAATTACACTTTCATATTTTATGATTAAAGTATAAGTATTTAGTTGAAATGATGAACTGGTCGATGTTAAACCATCATCACAAAGAAGGGGACTCATCAACAATGTGCATCCAGTTTGAGTTCAACTCTGTCGAGTGTATTCAGTTACCTAACGAAGTTGCATAATACCTTGTTTACATGTTCACAATAGTGATCTAATAATGATCGGTTCATGATTTCAATTTTCAATGTATCAACAAACAAAACAGAAAAAAAAGGAAAACTCAAATTTTCTTACTTTCACTGGACGTGGATAATTTGGTCTAGTTATACGAAATACAATCACAATGAACACACATAAACCAATTGCAAGCCATTGAACAAAACCAAGAAATGTGAATAATGAATAAATATTACCAACAAATAAATAACACAAGGAGATGATACACTAAAAATTAAAATAAAATCAGAGAAGAAAGAGTAAAATAGATTACAGTAAATCAGTTTGAAAGAGAAAATGACATTTACAGTGGATAAATTCTTGTTCTTACTTAACAGTGTTACATGTTGACGATCATTAGCTGAGATTTTGTCTGCTGGAAATCCAAAACCCGACCAAGGTTACACAGTTGCTAATAAAATGTGCTTCAATCTGAGGGGAACTGATGAAGTCTGTAGTATTCAAAC